TTCTTCCAAGGCACCTCTGAATGGACTTGAACTTCCAACCTCCCAGTTAGCAGCTAAGGACTTAATTAACTTTGTCCAATGTGTGTTAGGAAATTTCAACAAAGGGCTCCCAAGTCAGCTGCTTGGCTACTGGCCTCAGGTGAGAACAGCTGCCTGCTCCCAGGACACTGACCCTGTCAGGAGGCCCTGGTCACAAAGGCTAGACTGCTCAGCCACCCACTGACCTTCTCTCGTGGGATCTTCCTCTCGTCGCAGCTGTTACAGGTCAGGGGCAACTTGGGGCAGACTTCACTGTGCATCTGCAGCGAAGAAGTAGGACTTGAGGCTACCGCCCAGGCCCAGAAAGGTCCGGAAGCAGAGGTGGAGACGTGCAGCCTCAGCCAGGGCCCAGGTGCAGACTGAGCTGGGCCTATAGGTCCCAGGAAGCCTGAGCAACAAAGCCCAACTCCTTGCTGAAACAGTGGGAACAGAGGGCAGTGCAGGTGGGCTCCTCACAACAGCTGGCCCTGAGCCGTCGGCCCCTGGGACCAGGCAAGGCAAGAGTGCCCCCTGCAGGTGTGTTCTACACTCTCCACCCTCTCCAGCAGGTCAGTCCTGAACCCTGCCCGTCCCACCCTCACCTGTAGTTCGGCTCTGCTGCACACGGCTTGACAATGTGGGCAGCTGAGGCAGCGCTCCGGGCACTCGAGCTGGGCATGGCGTTCCTGCTCACCCAAAAGTATGGTGGCCTTGCAGGCAGGGCACTCGGTCGGCATGAATGGGCAGTGTCCTTCATGGCCACTCTGGGGCAGTAAGGGAGCAGAAATGTCACCCAGGGTCCCTCTGTGGGGCACTTCCAAAGCCCAGCAGTGAGCCTTCGTGTCTTAAAGGCCCCCTATGGGGGCTTTGTCCACTCCAGGAACGTCCCCATCCCAGGCCAGGCGAAGACCCATGCCAACCCCAGAAGTGTCCAAAGGCAGCCCTCAGCTCTTCACAGACAGACGGGCTGTGACCCTGGGGGAGGGGGAGTGCAAACAGCAGTATCTACAACTTTCTAATTCCCCGTCCATCAGGACACAGACTCAACCCGCAGGCTGCCTGAGTCCAGGCTGGCCAGCAGGAGCCCCCCCCCGCCCCCCCAGCATTGCCACTGCCGGAGGGGAAGGGTCAGAGGACGCAAACATGCGGAGGATGCCCCTATGACAACGGAGCAGCAATAGGAATGGCTGAGGTCCCCCACCTGGCCTCCTGAGTGTCCACAGGGTCCACACAGAACACCAGGTCTACACTGCCCTCCCCACAACCTTGCCACCACCCAGCCTGCCTGGGGAGCAGGGTTCTGTGGGCCACCATGACCCCCCTCCCAAAACCACAGGCTGCCCCTCCTGATACGAGCCTGTAAGGGAACCAGCTGGCCACACAGTCCAGCTCAACACTCCCTTCTGCCCCCTCCAGCACAGAACCGTCTCGTTCCCTGCCCACGGCCCATGGCCCCCCGGGCCCCCCGCCTCATCCACTTAGTGTAGTGACCCTGTACCTCCTGGACAAGCCACACTGAGGGCATCAGAGACCTGGTCACCGCGAGCCAGGGACTTGTCACCAAGTACACAAATACACAAAGAGGAGACAGTGGGAACTTGGATGATCTGCTTACACTAACCGAATGCCCCATCCTGCATTTGCTTTAAAATAACCAGAAAAGAACAAATATGGCGGGGGGGGGGGGGGGGACACAGACGACCAGCCTGGCAGAGGGGTGACTGTTGGAGATTGGCAGGCGGCTGGAACAACGCTCCGACCCTAAAGTCTCAGTGCAGCACCTGCTGATGGCACACACAGCCAACGGATGCTCAACTGTCCCCCGACCCCGACCCTCTCCTCCACACTGACGTCACACTGACCATGTCCTCTTCCGGCACCTTCCCGAAGTCTCCCTGACTCTGTGTCCTGTTCTCAGTACCTGAACTGGCCTGTGGGCACGGGGAAGGAGAAGGCTCCTACTTACACCTGACAGTGACTCGCACTCTGCAAATCCTCAGAGCCTTAGAAAGCGCACATTTCACAGTGAAGGACCGGACACCCTGTCTGTCCACACTCGTACAAACCACCCAGACCACACACAAGAGGCCCTTACTGGGCGGGCTTTGGCACTGACACCAGCCAGCCCCATGCGAGGTCTCAGCTGCACCCAGGGACGCGTGGAGCCAGGAGAGGCTGGCCTCCGCCCAGATCAGCCCTGACCGCCCACATGAGCAGCCGGCCTCCCGGCCTCAGGGACTTTCCAGAGCTTACAGAGACCCAGCCAGGGGCTTTCCGCTGTGTGGGCTGACAGGTGGAGAGGTGCCCATAGCTCCACACTGACGACAGTCCCTGGTCCACAGCCGGAGGACACACCACTCAGGCTCGCAGGCCTGAGGGTCAGGAGCCCCCAGAAGGACTCTAAGCTTAGGGGTGGGGCCAATTCTACCTCCCCGGATCCCAGGCTGCTCCACACACTTCCACCCCAGCTCCTCCACAAGTAGCAAAACTCAGTGTAGAGGCAGAAAGCACCAATCAGAAGCCACCCGATGGGAGCGCACCCTGAAGTTCGCAGGCAGGGCTGCTCTAACCCCCACCCTGTCCTGCAGGCAGACCCCTAGATGTGGAGAGATTACAGCTCCAAGAAACCACCTCACAATGTCCACACCAGCACACGAGGGTGGGAGGCAGCCAGGACCACCCCACTAACAACCCGGCCTCATCCTTCTCAGATGCTGACAGGGAAGGAAGATGCCATGTGGGGATCTGAGCCAGTCCCGTCCGAGGTGCGTGACAGCTGCCATCTCCCATCCCCCTTGTGAGAAAGGTCTCAAGTGCGGCTGGGCAGTGAGGCCCAGGCCTGTGGCTGCAGGTGCTCAAGGCTCCGTGACTGTGACCACTCTCTCAGACAGACAGACCACTATGGACGGACGGGGGACTGTGATGGCCCAGGCCTTCCCACTGGTGCCACCTCCCCCATTACCTCGTAGTCCTTGACTGTTCCGGTCCAGGTGCACCCACTGTGAGGACAGATGGCCGGCAGGCCCTCCACCTCCCTGCGGGCAGCATTGTCTGGAAAAGCCTGTGGGCAGAGCAGGCCGGTCAGGCCCTGCTGCCCACTCCTCCGGTGACCCAGCCCAGGGACAAGGCCTACCAAGTCCACGCTCCAAGTGTGACACACACACACACTCACACACACTCACACACACTCTACCCCCGAGGCGTACACTCACCGAGCCGCTGTCCAAGATAGAAATGCCTTCCTCGTAAATGCCTTCTTGCATGCAGGCGGCGCAGTTCTGCGGCCCGGAACTGGGGAGAGGGGGCAGCCACCATCAGACCCAGCCAGGCGTGAGCAGCGGCCCCTCACCCTCATGTCCTCAGGATCAGAGTAGTGTCTGCTGACTGCGCAGCCCCTCAAGGACCCCGATTGTGGTGCTGACGGCCCAGCTGCTGACCAGACCACAGGGCACGTGTGTCATCTACACAGAGCTGCCAGTACCAAGGTGGGAGCCATGAGTGTGACCAGGAACTGCCCAGCAGCCACGCGGAGGACTCGGTCAGTGGCAGGAGGTGACCCTGCTTGGGTACTCGGGCCTCACCTCAGAATGCTGGCCAGGCAGTAGGAGCAGTAGCGGTGGCCACACTGGGCCTGCACGGGCCGGCGCAGCACGTTCCCACAGGCTGAGCACAGATACTTGTCCTCCAGCTTGGTGCCCAGCAGCGTCCTGGAGAAGCCAGGCTGTAGCAGTGCCAAAGAGCCTGGGGGGGTCACACTTGCAGCTGCCATGGGGGCTGCCGCCTGGCGTGCCTGCAGCCTGCCAGAGAGAGCGACATGTCACTGGGGTCCTGATTCGCCCTCACCTCTCCAGGGTCCCCACAGTAACCAAGACTGAGAGACAATGAATGCTGGCCAGCCCCCTCAGAGGCCCAGCCTGCCCCACAGCCCCTGTCACGGCACACCTGACCTGCCTGCCGGGGGTCAGTTGGTGGGCAGGAAGGACAGTCGCAGTTGCCTGGGCCCGGGAAGCCCACCCTCACCCCACCCCAACGCTGCCTGTACATTGTCCAGCACAGGAGACTCGCTGTTACACCAGGGCATCACGGGGCTTCCAGGCCAGCGGGCAGCGAGGAAAACACCTCCACAAGCAGGGAGGCTGCGTCCCGTCCCGGGAGCTGCAGACCAGCAGGAGTGCAGTCAGCAGCCTCCCCTTGCTCCGGACCAGGCCCTGAGCGCTGTCCAGCCCCACCCATGGGCAGACACCCTTCCCTCGTGTCCCCGCCACCCCTCTGCCAGTTCCAACCCTGCTCAGGAGGCAGCCTGAGCCAGCATCGGGTCTACGTGTGGGGACGCTGCAGTGACTCAGGCTGAGCCGGGAGGAGGATCATAGTTTCCGCTGGTGATGCCCACCTCACCCTCTCCAAAATACCAGGGCTCCTCTCAGTAGGAGAGAAACAAGGGGGGAGAGAAAACAGTTGGCCACCCAGCTACAAACTGTGGTCTTTTTGTACCGTCAAGGTTTCCCAGGGGAACGAAGACCAGGCGAGAGCGGCTGCAGGCCTCCACATGGCCGGCTGAGTGGTTAGTGGACTCTGCCTTGCAGTGACCTTACGTATGCCCAGTCTGACCCGTCTTGAGGACTGTGGAGTAGCTGACTTCGTTACCTCACGGAGAGTCTTCCTCCTCTCCGCTGACTCTCTGCTTTACCAGACAGAATGACTTTCTACGGAGTGGTCTTTCCTGATGACATGTCCTACATGACGGAGCCAAGGTCTCACCATCATACCCAAGGGCTATATTCGGCTTGATTCTTCTGGCAGTCCATGGTCCACTCAGTGTCCTCCGCCAACACCACCGTTTGAACTTGCATTTCCTCCGCACTGTCCAGCTTTCGCGTGCATGAGGTGAACGGGACAGCATGAGTCGGTCCCAATAATATCTTTGTTTCTGTCTTTTGCAGCAGATCTGCCCAAGCCAACCTGTTATTTGGGTTCCGGACTTCTCCTTCCACAGGCATTGAATGCAGATCGAGTTACACTGAGGCACTGATGAAGAACACGGCTCTCGGAAGTGGCTCAGTGCCAACTGAGTTGCTTCAACCAGCAGCTGTAATGCTGGCAACGCTCATTCGGCTGCTTGACGTCACCTGGAAGACACTCACCTGGCCCACCAAGTGGGACAGATCCATGTCCATGCCCAGTCCGAAGGAAGGTGACCAACAGGATGCAGAAATCATTGGACAGTCTTATTACCACGTGACAGCAGCCACTTATCGACAGGGAGCTGCTGAAGTTCAGGCCAAACTCAGAAGAGGCTGTGGGATGCTGGTGCCAGGAGGCTCTCGGTCACAACAGACAGTCCAGGGAGGATGTTTACCTGCTTGATGGATTCAGGACAAAGGACTGCAATCTTACAAAGGTTGACTAAAGACAGGAATAAGCCAGGACCCGATGGCGGTGACCTTGGGGCTGGACCTCCTCAGCTGTCCAGTGGTTTGGTTGAGGTGAGTGGACTCAACTTCTCCGGAGTCAGAGGTCAGGGGTCCTCTCACTAAGCCATGCCGCTGCTGGTCTCACCAGATCGTGGAGGTTTTGAAGGGTGGTGTGGTCACTGCCGGTGGAAGGTGGTCAGGAACACAGTGCTGGTCTCCCAAACAACTGTACGGTCTCCTGGCTCTCTGGCGTCATGTGCAGGAAAAGTGGGCTGTTTCGGGTGACATGTTTCCATGTAAGGAAACAATGGGGGATTCGGGAGGCAGCACTCTCCTCACCAGGAGCATCTTGAGCAGAGGGGAGCCCCTGAGGGTGGGCCCCAGAGTCCTCTGTAGAGCGAACCCATGGGGACCTGCATTCACTTAAGGAAGGGGCACCCCTGCACGGCTCAGAATCATCACAAAATTTGGGTGACAAATGCTGTCTCCACTATGACAGCTGACGTGGGTGCTGGGTGAGGTTTTGGGTGGGCTAGCTGGGCGGGAATAAAACCCCATTTGGGAAAGGTTGTCTTTGTTACGTGAATACAGCAGGGTTCTGTCGAGTCTGTGTTGAGTCAAGCTCTTTTGAAACATAAAAAAGGTTATATAAGCAGCAGACAGACAGATGGGGTAGGATAGACGCCAAGACACATGGAGCTCTCCTAGGAATCAGGGCCTCCAGAGCTGAGAGAGGGAGAAGGCCTCTGCGGAGCAGTGCCCTGCATGTGGACTTCTAGCCCCTATACTGTGACAGGATACATGCCCACTGCCACACCCGGCCACGGCGGGTACTTGGTTCAGCAGCTTGAGAGTCTGATGCGCGGTCACCACATTGTTTTCAACCCAGTGCTCTGCGCTCCAGCTGCACGGGCCAAGACGCAAAGTCTCAGTGGTCCATCCGGCCAATGCGTGGCTCCCCCCCTGCGGCTGGTCACCTCATACTACGTTTCCGACTCCTGCCGTAGGCCAGCTCTGTACAATGTGAACCCCGACAGTACCTGTCTCTGGGGGGCACCCAGTCCAGTCTGAGGGGCTGTATGTGTGGAGGGGTTACATGTATGTGTGGAGGGGCTACATGCAGGCAGGGCCTGAAAGGGACAGGAGTATCCCAGCAGGCCCCCACACGGCTGAATCCTGAGGGGCAGCTGGCTGCCGAGGGACAGGCTGTATGTAGTCACCTGAGAGTCTGTCCTCCTCCTCTGAGGATCTCTCAAAGGGCAGCAAGGGCCATTCTTTAGGACCCAGCATGTGACAAGACAGCTACTGATAAGAGAATTCATGAAAACAACCCTGGGGTCTCTCCCTTGGTTCAAAACCCAAGCCACAACGAATGCCATGTATGGTGTGTAAATTAAACCTCGACGTCCCGTTGGTCGGGCCTCCACTTGAAAGCAGTAAAGTCCAAGCAGGCGACACTGCCCAGGTAGGCAGAGTCAGGGCCTGGCAGCCCCTCGCCCCAGAGTTGGAGGGTCTGCTGGAAGCTGGAACAGGGCGCTCACCTCCGGCACACAGCTGTCCCTTCTGGTAAACTCAGTCTCTTGTAGCTAACTAGTCATTGTCTCAATGAACAGCTCCACCAAGCACACAGACTCCCGGAGTGGACCCCCAAAACGCCCACCGTCTGCACGCCGCCCCTCCTACCCCCAGGCTCAAGGGACTCCCAAAGCAGAGACCGCTCCAGTCCGGGCCAGGCGGCGGACCCTGGGAACTGGGGCAGGAGGGCCGGCGGGGATCCACTCCCAGGAACAGTTGGGTGAGGCCGGAGAAGGGGGTCTGGACGCACGGGGAGACGCAGGTACCCCAAATTACTAAGAAGGGGCGTGGCCCACCAGAGGGGCTGGGAAGGCGGCCCCTCCACGCTGCGGTCTGAGGTTCTGGGAGCGGACAGGTGGCGCTGGAGAGAAGCCCGACACTGACAGGTGAGCGCAGACAGGTGTGCGGAGATAGACGTTCAGTCTCGGGTGTTTGAGGACAGGTGCGCGGGGGCAGGTATTCGGGGCCCCGTTGCTGCCTCAGGTGTGAGTTGGGGTGAGGTCAGGTTGCAGGGACAGATGGGTGGGGTCAGGTGGCTAGTGGACGCAGGCATGGGAAGCCGGCGCGACCCAGGGGGAGATGCCCAGTGAGCACATTCCCGAGGAAGGGCCCCTACCCCGGCGCCCCGAGCCCAGCGCTCGCCGGCCGCCGATTCGCGAACTTTCCGGCGCTACCGCGTTCTGAGTTTCGGTTTCCGGCTCCCAGCTCCAGAGCGATCTCCTCCGGCACCGGCGCGGAACGACGGTCCTCCAGCCCGGCCTCCCGCCGCCCGCCCGCCCGTCGACCCGGCCTCCTCGGCTCGGTCCGCGCCCCGCCCCGCGTCCCGTCCGGTCCCAGCCCCGCACCCCCCGCGCCCCGGGGCCGACTCACCCCAACGGTCGCCGTGCATCCGGAACTGAGCGCCAGCAGGGCTGCTGCCGACGGCCCGCCTCCGAGCCGGCGGACAGACAGCGGCCATAGCCTATCCCAAGCGAGCAGGGAGCCGCTGCGGGCGCCGATTAGTTAGATACGCCCTCAGCCGCAGGCCCGCCTCCGAGTCAGCGGATAGACAGCCATCCTAGCCTATTCTAAGCGAGCAGGGAGCCGCAGTAGGTGCTGATTGCTCAGTGTTGTCGAGACGTCCCTATTTAAGCTGTCCCTTTGGCCTTTCCGAGAAGGCCCGGTTGGCTGGCGGGGGTGTGACTTTTCAGTGTTCTCTTTCTGAACGGCGGCAAAACAGCGAGACCCACGCGACAAGCCCCTCGCTCTTCGCGTCCGCTGCCCACCGGAGCGAGACGAGAACCGGCGGGCTGGGGGGGGGCCTGTCCTCCGTCCTCACAGAGGGGGCAGTGCAGGCTGGACACGACAGGAGCGCTTGTTGCCCAGTACTGTCCCTGTCCTGCCTTAGCTTGCTTAGGGCCTGACACACAGCAGGACTTCGTTCCAGTTACGTCTGTGAGAACAAATATACAATGTGATCCACCTACACTTAGAGGATATGAGTTTCTTTTGGGGGCGATGAAATTGCGCTGCAGAATTTTAATGGAAAATATGTACAGTGAATTGCTGCTGTTAGGTATTGTGGAATCAGCTCTAACTCATAGCAACCCGACGTTCCACCGAAAAAGACGCTGCCTGTTCGGGCGCCACCCTCACACCTGCTGCAGTGTTTGAGCCCGTTCGTTAGCTGCTGCAGCCACCATATCAATTCATCTCGTTGGGGACCTTTTTCTTTTTCGTTGACCATCTTTACCAAGCATGATGCCTTTCTGCAGGGACTGGTCTCTCCTGATAACGTCCCAAG